ATATCCCGGACGGCGAGTACATCGCACAATTATTCACTGATCAATATTTTTGCCTGGGTTTCTGAGGAAAGCGGAGGGAAAAGATCATTAGGATTCAGAGCGCGTGAACTGCACACTCCATACGTTTCTGCTGATCTAAGAGTTTTGCTTGAATCTCTGGAGCCCTGGGGAATATTTCCCGCTGAGAAAATCACTGGTTTCTCCTCTGTTCTGTTCTCCAAAGGCGGCGTGAAATGAGACAATAACAATTCTATATCAAGAGTTTCTGCACTTTTGCACTCGGAAAATTCCATCTCCTCCTCCAAGTGCAACTGTGTTTCTGTTTCCCCAGGGCCACAGACTTTTGAGCTTTTAAAAATCTTTCCTGTGACCTTTTACAACACAATTTTGTCCTTTTGTCTCCTCAGGAAAAAAGAAACGAGTGATTTTTAGGATATTGTTCACCCAAATACGTACACCTCGTTTTTTCTCCAGATAACGTTGTTTGTACTTCAATGTTCTTCAAAAATATCTCAAGTCAGTTTTACAGGTTTGGAACGGCATGAGTGTGAGTTAATAGCTATGTTTCCTTCCATCTATTTTCATGTGCATTTTGGTGCATCACATGGTAGTGCTTATTGCGTTTCGTCTGCACGCTCTGAGACACGAGTCATTTATGATGATGTAGGAAAAAAGAGCCATAGTTTCTTCCCCGATTGCAGCAACTTCCATTTTTTTATTACACATTGTACCAATTTCACAGAAAAAAAAGGTGATTTTGTTCTTTTGAACACATGGGATGGAAACGCTGCTTGATTTGCAAACTATTTAGAGATATTTCAATTTTGCACTCAAGTTAAATTGACAACTTTCAATGGAAACATATAGCTAATGATGATGGATTGTTCATTTTTGGGTGAACTGTCCCTTTAAGGCAGAGGGTAGATCGGTTCTTTTCTTGCAAATGATATCTTGGAAATCGTCAACTTTTTCCATTCCTCTTTGCTACTTTTCCATTGTATTTCAATGTAGACGCGCTATATGGACGCCAAGCAGTTCGAAATCGTCCCCCTATACCCTCATTCACTATTCCCTAGATTACTCCAGTAATATAGTTGACTTAAAGGGTTAGTTCACCCAAAAATGAAAATTAAGTCATTAATTACTCACCCCCATGCTGTACCAACCCGGTAAGACCTTCGTTCATCTTCGGAAAACAAATGAAGATATTTTTGATTAAATTTGAGAGGTGGATCACTGCTACATAGGCTCCTAAGGGATTGAAACTTGACGGCCCAGAAAGTCTTTGAAGAAAATGTTTAAATATTCCATGTGACTACAGTGGCTAAAGTATAAGTTTATCAAGCGACGCGACTACTTTTTTTGCGAAAAAACAAACAAAAATAACGACTTTATTTGACTACTCCATTTCTTCCTTGTAGGCCTGAGACGAGAGTTCAAGAGATGTCCATGACGTATGCGCGAGAATTGCGTTCTTATTCTACTACTTCGTCGTGGAAATCTCTTGAATTCTCATCTCAGGCCTACAAGGAAGAAATGGAGTAGTCGAATAAAATCGTTATTTTTGTTTTATTTCCGCACAAAAAGTAGTCTTGTCGCTTGATAAACTTATAGTTGAGCCACTGTAGTCACATGGAATATTTAAACATTTTCTTCAAAGACTTTCTGGGCCGTCAAGTTTCGATCGCTTAGGAGCCTATGTAGCAGTGATCCACCTCTCAAATTTAATCAAAAATATCTTCATTTGTGTTCCGAAGACGAACGAAGGTCTTGCCAGGTTGGTACATCATGGGGGTGAGTAATTAATGACTTAATTTTCATTTTTGAGTGAACTAACCCTTTAAAGAAGTGAATGAAAACAAGTGAACTCGGACACAGTGTGCCGGAAGGGCTGCTGCTTTTGTGTAGTTTGTGCTGGCTGTTTAATAATCATTTGAAACTGGCAGCTCCTGTAGTAAAGAAAATTATTATTTTGATCTCAATCATGCTAACTAGCATGTATAAACCTTAATTAAACATTTTAATCAATTAAAAATGAATTATTACATGTATGATATTACACTGTAGCCACATTGGACCAGCAGTTTGGGAAAATGGATGGATGATACACATGTGGGCGCCATCTTCTGATCAGGTGCAGCGCTACTATCACAGTGCATTATGGGTATTCTCTAGCAGTTGAGTGTACATCAGCTGTACACTTGTTAATGCGGTGCATTATGGGATTGAATGAATGCACTCAATCACATCCACTATGGTTTTAGACACCACTACAAATGGCTGTTTCATCAAATAGTGTCTAGTTCAAGGGTATAGGGGGCGATTTCAGACACAGCCATGGCACTCCAACAACGCGAGACGCGAGCACAAAGGTTAAAGACGTCCATCTGGTGCGTTTACATTGTAAAACAATGGAAAAGTAGCACAGTTGAATGGAAAAACATATTTTTGGTGAACCAGGCCTTACTCTGTTCATTCTCCAGCATGCAAACGCAGATCTGAAGACCCAACCAACACATCATGCAGTCCTGTTGTAGGCTACACACTTTACATCCATTACTGTGACTGTAACAAACTTCAGTACTCAAAGGAGGGGGGATCACATTACAGTAGTCATCTGCTTATTGAGATGGGAAAGGGGGAAATTATTTTAACATGAAATAAGACACTTCAGTTTTAACACATTCAACAGACCATATGCAAGGACTGGAGTAATATTTAGCCAGCTAGTTATCACAAAAATCACCTTAAAAGAGTTTATTTTGCCATATAAAACATATAGATGAATGCATTTCATGTTTTATTAGCCTATCTGAGAAGGAATGTTAGCACAGCTTGCATGCATGTTTGTATTTCTACACTGCCGTTCAAAAGGGTAAAGTCATTAAAATGAATACTTTCATTCAGCAAGGACGCATTACATTGATCAGAGGCGAACATAGAAATGATTAATGTCTATTTGAAATAAATACAGTTCTTTTAACTTTCTATTCATCAAAAAATCCTAAAAAATGTAATGAAGGAGCACAACTGTTTTCAACGTTGTAGCGAATCAGCATCAGCAAAACTACGCAAATGACCAACCAAAATCAAGAGTCACAATGATCTGTTTAATAATATAAATCTATAAAGGTTTTCACTGCATGACCACAGCAGGGTGAAGTTATTTCGTAAGTGTGTGAGAGTGTCGGACAGCTGAGCGGCTGAAATAGATCTTTGAGGAGCAGCTGTCAAACACTCCTCCTCTCTCCCTCCCCCTCCGTTTCTCTCCGTCCCTTCCCCCTCCTCCAATCCCATCATTCCCTCCCCCTCCGCCCGTGTGTCCCTGAAATCCCCCTCCCCTCCATCTGTCTGTGTTATGTCCGTCACTGAATCCGTTTGACTGCTGAATCAGCTCATAAACGCCTGTCATTATTAGGCCCAATAGATTTTCTGTTGAAGCAGATCTCCAGTACTGACGCAGTTAGCTCCAGTATATTTCCCCTCAAAAAAAGCATTGCTAATCCCGAGGGAATGGGATCAGTTAGATCTGTGGTAATCCAGATAAAGAACGAGATCTACCTGCAGTAACGCGGGCGTTAGATCCAGCAGGTCACGGCGTGTACACGCATCGTCAACTGGCTTCAGTTAAATAAAGAACAGCAGGTAATATATTCTCTAATGCAGGACATCCATCAGAACGGCATCTGCTTCTGCTTCATGTCCTGCTGATAAAGATAAGATATCTTACAACATCACTTACCCTACAAACATTTACCATGGTTGCACAGTCTCTACCAAATTGCCATTTTTGCTCCAGATATTATTACTACTGTACATTCATAGTTAATATGGTATCTCAACAATGTGCAAGAAGCTATTCGATTTTTTGTAATTTTTATGTAATTTAATCAATTTAATTTATGAAATTAGTTGAACACGAAATAAGACACTTAAGTTTTAACATTTTTTTTTATTATCAATTAATAAATTATTTCTATTTAAAAATTATTTACCTAATTTACATTTAGGTGATGTTTTATGTAGTATATTATTGACTTATCTATTATTTTAGTTATTTACTTTTTTAATTGATGTTAATTTGATATCTTTGCTTATTATTTTATTTAATATCTAATTATGTTTTTCTATTGTAACTAACTCTTTTATTTTTATTTATTATTTTAGTTATTATTTTCATTTTTGTTGATGTGAATACCAATTTATACCACGTTTTATTTAATTATTTATTTATCATTTTGTTAAACTGTTTTTATGCTAATACCAAAATATAACCACTTTTTCAGTAACAATATCATTTTTGTTTGGTTAGAATGTTATTTATTATTTTATTGTCATTTTTATGGATGCCATTATCAATTTATAACAGTTTTTTCTGTAGTAACAATAACTGTACTTAATTTTTATTTAACTTTATTTATTATTTTAATGTTATAGATGTTAATACCAAATGATGACAGTTATTCTGCATTAACAATGACTTTTATTTTTTAGTTATAATTTGGTATTAGCATAAATAATAATGAAAACAACAAAATAAAAAAATAAGTTTCCCTGTAGTTCAAAAAAAGCTGTAAAATGTGGTATTTTACCTACATCAAACTATTGGTAGAATGTAAGTACATGTGTGTCTTTCTCATTGGCTATGTTCAGAGTGGATTAGTAGTGTACTGAATACTGCACTGTGTACACTGCAAACTGTTTTTAAAATGTATGCTTTTGCTTTTTGCCAAAAAGTAACTTTTGCTGCTATTTCACAAACAATGTAAAACTTTTCGCAACAATGATAAACATTTTTAAAAGGCTATATACTATAATAATGAAAGTCACATAACCTCATCATGTTCGGTAAATGGCTTCCATTAGGGTATCTTATTAATTTTGTAAACTGCACAACGTATACTATTCTGAACATAGCCTTTGTTTTTTTATGTTTTTTTTTCACACATCTCTGATCAGTTGTGTGGACTCTCTATTTTGTGATTGGTTTTCCTGTACAGGAGCACATTTTAACCGGCACCAGCATAGTCATGCTACCTCCTGTCGGCATTTTCACCTGGCTGCTACAGCAACGCCTCTGCCTGCTGAGTTCCCGCCCCCTCATCTGGCCCCGCCCCCATTCCAGGAAGTCCCGCCCCCTTTCCTACCTCAGGCCTTACAGCAGCAATACCTCATCCAGCAACAGCTACTGCAGCGCAGGTAGAAATCACATCTAACATGAACGCTTAAAAAATGTTTATTAAGATAAAAGACACGATAAGGAGAAATACATAAAGCAATTGATGAATAAAAGGTCAAATTGTCGCTCTTCAGACGCACACAGGAGCGAGTCCCGCTGAACACGCATCGGTTACGCCCAGGATATGAATATGCTCCGCCCCTCCATGTCCCACAGCCAATCCCACAGCAGCCCAGATACCTGGCGGAAGGCACCGACTGGTGAGATCTAAATACAAAGCAGCACTTGAAGCGCTGGGAATTATCTTTGTGATTTAAAAAGGAGAAGAAAAACGGAACTGATTGTATGTTTTTAAACGACTCTTAATAAAATGAATATGTGCTTGTGTGTTTATAGGGACCTGAGCGTGGACGCAGGTGTGCCACATCAGTATCCTCTGCAGCAGATCCCTCAACCCTACCAGCATTACCTGGCCTCTCCCAGAATGCACCACCTCCCCAGGAACACCTCCTCCACCCAGGTGGTGAGTGTCTAAGCGTGTGTGTGTGTAATATATATATATATATATATATATATATATATATATATATATATATGGCTGTCAAACGATTAATCGCATCCAAAATAAAAGTTTGTGTTTACATAATATATGTGGGTGTACTGTGTATAATTATTTATATAAATACACACACATGCTTGTAAATATGTATATACTGTATATGGATTTATATATAATTTATATTATTATATTATATTATATTATAAGCTTTTATTTTGGATGTGATTAATCGTTTGACAGCCCTAATATATATATATATATACATACATACATATTTGTATGTGTTTAGCATATACGGTTATACATGTATACTAAACACAACTACTGTATGCATGTATGTATTTGTGTACACATATTTACTCGTTTATAGACAAACATGTATATCTGTTTGTTTAGTATAAATGTACAACAGTGTCTGTGTATGTATATACACACACACACTGTTATACATGTGTACTAAACACATATACAACGAGTAAATATGTGTATAGTGTACACACACACACACACACATATATATATATATATATATATATATATTACTCATTGTATATGTATTTATTAGTACACATGTATAACAGTGTGTGTGTGTGTGTGTGTGTATGTATATATATATATAGATACAGACACTGTTAACATGTATAGTAAACAAATAGATATACATGTTTGTCTATAAACAAGTAAATATGTGTACATACATACACATACACACACACACACACACACACACACACACACATATATATATATATATATATATATATAAAATAGTAGTAGTTGTGTTTAGTATACATGCATAACAGTGTCTATGTATGTATGCTAAACACATAGATATATGTGTGTGTGTGTGTGTGTGTGTGTGTGTGTGTGTGTGTGTGTGTGTGTGTGTGTGTGTGTGTGTGTGTGTATGTATGTATGTATGTATGTATGTATGTGTATATATATATATATATATATATATATATATATATATATATATATATATATATAAATGCCACGTTTAAATGCACTGCGATGTAGACGTGTTTTAGTCCTGTATGTTGTTTCTTTTGTAGGTTGTCCATGAGATAAGGAATTATCCATATCCACAGCTCCACCTGCTGGCGCTGCAGAGCTTGAGTCCCAGCAGACACTCTTCTGCTGTTCGAGAGAGTTATGAGGTAACACACAAACAGATGAATTCTAACACACACACACATTCATGCTTTGCTCCACTTAACACTGAGTGTGTGATTGTGTGTAGGAGCTGTTGCAGTTAGAGGATCGATTGGGAAGCGTCAGCCGAGGGGCCGTGCAGACCACCATAGAGAGATTCACCTTCCCGCACAAATACAAGAAGGTTTTTACATCTAGTTTTATATTTTTATATTCATGCCCAGCACAGAGTTTTCAGCTGCTAACATACTTGTGTTTGTGTAGCGGAAGCCGCTGGATCTGAAGTTATGTGAGAGTGAGGAAGAGTCTGATGTGGATGAGAAATGCACCATCTGCCTCTCCATGCTGGAGGATGGAGAAGATGTCAGGTAGTGTATAATACAGAAGCTCAATCATTCCAAATTTTTCTGATTTCTGAGAAACATTTCTGATTATTATTAATGTTAAAAACAGTTGTGATTTTGTAGCATTATAAATGTCTTTACTGTAACTTTTGATCAATTTAATACACTATTGCTAAATGTTCCGGAGTACATTATTTAATGTAAATATTTTGTTAAAATATTAAGAGAGCTGGCAAAAAGTTTGAAAATCTCTTTACTACATTATAAATACTACACTCTTAGAAAAAATAGGTTCTATATATATATATATATATATATATATATATATATATATATATATAGCATAGGGTTCTTTACTCAACTGCAAAGGACCTTTTATGCAAAAAACAAAATGATCTAAATGACAAGAAAGAACCCTTTTGGCACAAAGGTTCTTTATAGGCTATTATTCATTCATATATTTCATTATTCTGCATCATTTTGCAGTTGTAATTAAATTATTGTTTATTAAACTGATGTAGTAACTTAATATCATATTTAAATCATGCTGATTTTTGGAGTGTGATATTGATTAATTAAATTTTTTAACCCCCATATCTTAAATTTTGTGATCATTCATATGCATTTCATTTTAGGGGTTCCAAATACATAGCGCTTTAGAACCTTTTAAGGTTCTAAATAGAACCTTTTCTTCTAAGAGTGTACACAATACCAGTGTTATTTTAGTTTTTATTTTATATACTACTATAGTATTTATTTATATTTTGAATTGGCTTTTATTTTGATATTTTCAGCTTTTATTTTGAAATGCAAGTTTTAGCAATTTTGTTGTGTGCATTTGTCACTAAAAACCACGTAAAAAAAACAACAAAAAAACAAAGTATACTTTGGTCTTAACTTTACACATCCTAATAAACCATTTATATGCAAAAACACAAAGAATAAGTTGGCTAATCTCTCCCTCTCTACTTCTCTTTCAGGAGGTTACCCTGTATGCATCTGTTCCATCAGGCGTGTGTGGACCAGTGGTTGGCCACCAGTAGGAAGTGTCCCATCTGCAGAGTGGACATCCAAACACAGCTCACACCCGAGAGCTGAAATAACACGCATTAACAAATAACTCACACACACATGCTCTCTTTCGCTCTTATAAATCCACAGACATTTCCATCCACACACACACTGTATATTACCTACACACATGTGTATGAGCCATCCAACACACACTAAACACACACTCACATGCTTTACTGAGCCAGTGACAATAACTGACACTACACACACTCACACACACACACGCTGGTAGAACTTACTAAAGGGTCTGTCGCAAGGAGTGATTCTGTCCGTAGGGAAATGGTGTGTGTCCGTAGCATGTGTGTGTATTTGTGCAATTCCTTAAGCCATGAACTTTACTAAAGACCCTCAGCTTGCATACAATACACACACACACACTTACACACTAATTATAATATATACACAATGAAGCGGATAAGACACTGTCAAATCTAGCTGCTGGAGTGGGTGTGTGTGTGTGTGTGTGTCCACTGTATTTCTGATCTGCAATACTGCTTTAGTCTTACACACTGGAGCTACTTCGGCTTGCGTGTGTGCGTATGTACGCTTGTTCACCATTTTGGTGCGCGTGTATCGTATGTGTGTTCATATTTTCATGGGTCATTGGGTTAGCGATGCACGACAGTGCATGTAAAGAAGCCAAAAAAAAGAACACAAAAAACACAAAAGCAACTCATTTCTGAGACAGCAGGAGGAGGGCTGTTGTCTTACACTCAAAAAAACAACAAAGTAGGCGGAGAATGTCGTGATTGGTGGATTCGTGTAGATAGGCGCAGTAGTAGTTGCATGCATCTGTGCTTGGGTTGTTGTTTCAAGGTACACCTGGGTGTGTGTGTGTGAGTGAGTGAGAATGCATGAATGTGTATTAGCTCCTTTAAGCTGTGACGATCTGTAACATTATCAGACTCATGTAGCGAGCGTGTGAGTGTGTGTGAGAGAGACCCTGCCATGACCTTTGACCCTAAATGCCTACTGAAAAAAGCACATGTGAGCATAGCTAAAGTGCCCGGCCTCACTCTGGTGCTGCGCTGCCATGGTTACTGTATTTATTATTGGTATTTAAAACATGCAGTGTTTGGAGGGAGGCAGGGCTTGTGCGTGTCCAACCATGTTCTTGTGTGACAGGTTTCCCTTCGTGGTTGCTATGCTGGATGCTATGCTGTATTGCTAGAACTACAATGTAGAATGTCGTGTGATAGAGGACCATCCGCCAACAGCACACAAGCGGGGCGAGAAGGACGAACCGGGAATTTTTCTTATTTGCCTCACCTAGGCCCGAAACATACACAAGCTGTAACAGTTTTCTGCTATTATTAGTTTTCAGTTTCAGGTCAAAATGTCAGAGAATCTTGCTGAGAAAGTTAAAATTAGCGAAACTCTTAACATGTTTACAGCTAGCAACGTGAACAATAGCACATCTGGTATAATGGTGCAGACGCTTGAACGCCGTCGCCCACTTGAGCACTGACGTTTGCAAAAAATGCACATTAAAAAAGGGAAGCATGCTGGCAATGTGTACATTTCTGGCCTTATTTTTATTTTTTATTTTTTTGAAGCAGAATTTGAACAATTTACAATTATATATTATTTTTATATGCATTGTTTTTCGAAACTTCCGGTTTCATTTGGCTTAATATGCAAATTCGAACCAAAAGGCAATTGCAACATTTTTGAGGCTAACTTCAATAAAATAAAATAAAAACTATTCGTTTCAGCCAATGAGCTGCATTTTTGCCTGTGCGTCGGCTCCTCCCCCCCAGTGTTCTGTGTGCTGATTGGTGGATGATGGCTCGTGTTGATCGTTTACACAGGGTTATGTCCGTTGAAATGCCTTAAGTATTTAACAATCATAATTTATTACTAACTGTAGATATTGTGGGTGCGTATTTAATTTTGTATAGTTTCATTTTTTGCAATGAAATCATATTTTATTTATTTAGAAATAACACAATGATTAAAACTCTTACCTCATGTTTGAGTTGGTTTGCGGGAATGCTTCGCATGCGGTTGGTCGTGTTCGTGTGTGTTTCTCCCTTTGGTGCTGTGACCTTACTGACATTCCGCTTGCTGATTGGTCAGACACTGCAGCGGAGTGGGAGTATTATGGGTTTTGATTCGCTGTCCTGTTTGCACTCTTAGTTTTCCAAGGCCACCCTCTCACTGGCATCATTTTAACCACTCTGGCGACCTTTGCAACAATCTTTCTCTTCCTTACTCTCTGTAAGTCTTTCTTACATTGTTAATGTTTACATGAACTTTACCTCTCTCGTCTCATATTTGTGGCTATAGTTGGCTAGTGTTGACATGTTTACATCCTCTACTTGCTTTCTTTCTCCTTTCTCATGAATTGTTTTTTTTTTCTTTTGTCTTGAACAGTCTTAAATTGCTAATGTTTACATCTAAGGGTGTGGTCAAAATCAAGTGAGCTTCCTTACATAGGAAATTACCTTCTCAGTCAGCATACTAACCTAATAAGTGGCTGTTTTGAAACGCCACATGGGCAGCAACAAGTACACAACACACAATAGTGTTTTATATTAGCATATTGCTAAGCTAGCAAAGTGATATGCATAAAATGTATAGCATGCACAAATATTGGTTAAAGTAGTCCATTGTTAATAACATGGAACTGTTTTTATCAATGCATTTGAACTAAAATGAACTATATTTCTGATTTTGCCCGCATTCTCCACCATTTATTGTGGCTGAGATTGTCACAAAGCATTGTGTGATATTTTTTATTTTTTAGATCCTGTACAACAGCCATCGCCTAGGCTGTGTGCATATGGTGTTGTCTAGCCTAGGAAGGGAGGCTCACTAGGTTTTGGAACAAGCCCATGTCTTTTTCTCAATCTCTCATTCCTTGTGCCTATTTCGGTTTTATTCTCAATCTCTATCTCTGATATTGTAAGTCAGTCTGGATATGTGCAACCTCTCTCTTCATAGTTTATTTTGCCAGTCTTACTCTTTCTTTCTCTCTCTCTCTTTCTCCCTGTCTCATGGCAGGGTCAGGACTAACAGAGTATGATAAAGCACAACAGATTTAAAATGCATGTTTTTCTCAGGTTTGAATATATACATGACTAAATAGAAATATACAGCTACATAGAGAAAATAAAAACTAGTGCAGATGTTCTACTAATGATTTTAGAGGATTGATTTTTTTTTTTTGCTGCTGCTTGCATTTGAAAAACAAAACCAACAAAAAAAAAGACATTTAATAATAATGTTGTCCTAAAAGTGCCAGTGACAGGGGTGCCGCGTGCTGTGGGTGTTTTTTCACTAGCGGATTTTCTAGCAGAATATAGACTATTTATCATTCATATTAAAGCAATAGCGCCTCCTGCTGGTGTGACTGCTAGTGCGTAACTGGTTGAGTAAAAAAAAAAGTCTGTGTAAAATGTTAGAATTCTCTTTTGGTGGAATTTTTGTACCTTATTTATTACTACTACTAATGATGAATTTAAAAGTGGCTTTGCTAAAATGTTTTTGGTTTCGTTTTGTTTTCATTTTGTTTAATTTCAAAGCTTGTACATTATCCTTTTTGTATGTGCTCATTTTGTAATAAAAACTGTTGAAATGCTTAAATGGTTGTTTTGTGTCAAGCACATTATGCTTTTAATCATCTTTCTATATAATTTCAATGTCGATTTAAAAATCCACCTGAAACCTTGTTTTACATGGTTTCTGGCTGGTGAAAGCAGGTTGGTTGAAGCTGGTATAGATGGTGTGATCAAAGCTTAAATGCTGATTTGTAATGTGCAGTGTTTTATTTAGTAGGATTGTAATTCAATGTATTGAGGGAGCACTTCACACATCTTAACAGTAGAGGGCCAAACACACTCTTTTGAATGCTTATGGAGACAATATATGCACAAATTAAATATAAACAAAATTAACATTTTAATGTACACTACATTCACTTAAATATCATCTCATCTATAGCATTTATTTGTGAATATAGGCAGTAAGAGATGGAAGTATACAATATGCTAATTTATTTTAATAATTTATGAAACCACTTACATTCTCTGTTACCAAAGCAACAAATAATTCACTCTCACTTTTTTATCTTCTAACACTGTTGTACATATGACACAGATGAACTCAGAATCATTAGAGTCAAGGTGAAATTGCATTCGCAATGTAATATCATTCTGCAGTGAGGCATATGCCGTTCAAAAGTTTGGGGTTGGTATATATATATACCCAAAAATGAAAATTCTATAAGTATTTACTCACCCTCATGTTGTTCCAACCCCATAAGACCTTCATTCATCTTCAGAACACAAATTAAGATATTTTTGATGAAATCTGAGAGCTGGATCACTCCTGCATACTAGTCCATAGGCTTCTTGAGGGATGGAAACTTGCCGTCCTCGAAAAGTTATTAAATACATCGTTAAAATAGTCCAAGTGACTTCAAGTGGCTCAATCTTAACTTTATCAAGCGATGAGAATACTTTTTGTGCTAAAAACCAAACAAAAATAACGACTTTATTTCAAATATTCACTTCCTTCTCTATGCGCCTCTAGTCAGTTAACGTAGTGTGATAGCGTAGAGCTACGTCACATGTAGGCTCACTATTGGCCGACGCTGGTCATGTGTGTGATGCATGTGACTTACAATAACATTATTACACTATTAAACTAGTAACCTGACTCGAGGCAGAGTGAGAAGTAAATGAATAGTTGAAATAAAGTCGTTATTTTTGTTGTTTTTGAGCACAAAAAGTATTCTCGTCGTTTGATAAAGTTAAGATTGAGCCACTGTAGTCACTTGGACTATTTTAACGATGTTGTAACAGTTTTGACCTGTCACAATAGTTGTCCCTTGGTATGTAAGGCTTAGACCTGACACTAGGGGGAGGTAGTGGGCTTATTGGTTTTGGATATCAGTAAGGCAATGATAGAAGAAGTGAGATTGGTTTGGGAACAAACAGCATTGTGCTTGTGTGCCACTCTTAAGAGTCCAGACTGGGAATCTATGGGATTTTCTGCTCAGTCAATGTAAGATTTGCTGTTTGTTTATGTTTTATTCAAGGTTATTTTTGGCCTCTGTGGATGCACTTATAGTATGATGATTTTTGTTTTGTTTGTTTGTAGAAGGACTCTTTAGTCCTTACTGATAATATCCAGGAGGATTGTTCATCAAAAGAACTGTTTAACCTGAGGACACCCTACTGCTACCACCTTGATATCTGAAGGGTTGGTGGACAAGGAGAAAAGTCTAGTTGTTCGCATGGTTTATGATGAATTATATCGGACTGATTCCAACCATGCCGTTTGTAGACTTTCGTGCACATAAGTACAGCAGAATGGACTTTTCTGCCCATCCAGATAAGAACTTTTGTTCTGCTAGTTTTGGTGATATGTGACTTGTTCCTTCCATGTTGAAATGTTTTGACTCTGTTCATGATATGTGTGATTTCCTCTCATGTATTTACTATTAATGTATTCTTTACTTTTTTCTTATATGAATAATACTCACCCTTGCATCTATTTTGTGTCTTACTCAGTATTTAGACTAACACAGAGCTTAGCTGGCGGTTCCCTCCCTAACTAAAACTTTGTGGCAATTAGTCTGAGTGTGCATACTAGACTAATTGTTACAATGTCTTTAATAACTTTTCGAGGCCAGCAAGTTTCAATTCCTCAAGAAGCCTATGGACTAGTATGGAGGAGTGATCCAGCTCTCAGATTTAATCAAGAATATATTAATTTGTGTTCCGAAGATGAACGAAGGTCTTACGGGGTTGGAACAACATGAGGGTGAGTAAATACTGACAGAATTTTCTTTTTTGGGTGAACTAACCCTTTAATATCAATGCTGAAAGCAGTTGTGTATTCAAAAGAACAATTATTTTAAATAGAAATCATTTGTAACATAAATGTATTTGCCGTCACTTTTGATCAATTGAATGCATCAAACGCATAAAAAAAAAAACATTGACCCCAAACCATTTTGATTTCATGTCGACTTTAGGGCCTTTTAGAGTCTCAAATAATGAGTTTAAACACTTTGTGAAATGTATTATATTTTTGGTAAATTAAATATTCACAATAATTTATACATCTAAGTGACGCACATAAACAATCCCTGTCCATTCTAGCCCTGGGTGTTGTCGTTATTCAGAAACGAGAGTTTATCCAGGTAGGTCATTGCTTTGCAAACTACCAAGCTATAATACGTTTCCAGCATGCCGCAGCTCCTCCCTTTCCCTGCCCCTAAATCCCTCCAGGCCACGCCCATCAGCCCCGCCCCCATTCCTGCCGAGCTGAATAGAAAGTTATAACAGCAGGGGTTATAGCGAATGTGTCGGTCGCCAGAAAATCGAGCACTGTGAGTGGTCACCACGCCTGCCCGTCTTGCACACAGGCCAATCAGAACGTCGGAGGGAAGGGGCAGCGATACGTCCTGTGCGGCGACATACACTTTTCTCACAACGTCTTGAGATAGAAGGAAGGCCGGACCAGAGCAGTAGTCGGGAAGGTATTTATCAGGATACACGTGATAGGGCAGGTAATACGATTTGTCGGGGTTTCTCTCAGGTGCGGCCCGATGGATGACCCTGCCCAGGTAAAGGTCATCCGGATTTGTTCTCAGTCCCAGCAGGTATGTTGTAAGCGCAGGAAGATTTAAATACACAGAATCCTCAGAAAGAATGATAAATCGGGCTTGTGGACAAAAAAGTAGGATCCAGCGAAGCGACATTTTAACTTGTTCCCAGTGTCCTCTCTGCCAGTGTCCCCTTGAAACACCTCCTTCGAACTGAACGATGTCACCATACCGAGCCGACTCCTCCCTCATCATATCTTGCTCCGCCCCTAAAGGGGAGGGGCCAGTGAAAAATAACGTCCGCACAGCAACACGGTGCACCGAAGTCTGATTGGCCCAGGAGTTTCGGACCGCCTCCCTCTGGCTTAAGTTACCAGGGGAACTCATGACCACCGTGAGGATGAGGAGGTCCTGATGATGAAGGCACGGTTCGGTGTTAATGGGATAGAGCTGCGAGGTGTTGACCCTGGTCTCAGTCAGGTCCAGTTTGCGTGCACGCTCCCGGACCTCAAGGACAAAGCGATCAGTGTAGGCAGCGGGAGAAGACTGCAAGAGAAACTCTTCGACTATGTCACCTCCAAACAGCAGCGCGTGAAACAAGATGACGTTACACAATAGGAAACACCACTGATGGGTCTGCAATCGAAACACACAGATCTGGGAGAGAGTGAAGCAACAAATGTGACCAACAACTTGAGTCTAGGGTCAATCAGTTGCAAAAAAATGTAAAAATCAAATACACAAAGAGATAATCTCTAATCTTTATTAAAATGGCCACCTTATGCTGTTCTAGTTGGTGAACCAGCAAGCAAAATCTAGTACAGTAGTGCAACATTTGAAGTGATCAAAAAAAGTTCATCAAAGTCGTCTTAAGACAAGAACGGGTATTGTTTAAAATTCATGTATAACATTGAGGAAAGGTTTTGATCCACTTCAAATGTTGACTACTGTATTTAATCAGCATGGTTTCTGGTGTTTCAAGACCAAGGAAGTCTTGCTGGTTCTGCCAGTCCATATTAAGGACCTGTATTCAAAACACAACATCCCTGCTGAAAAAAACAATAGAAACCATTACAGAAATGGTAATGGTTTCCACTACAAAACCATTACAAACTATCAGCCATTAATCATTAAAACCATTACAAAATGGTGTCCATTGCGTAGTGTGTTTTGGGCCATATTCTATTAGGATGTATTGGTTTGTATAGGTTTCCATTACTAATTTGTATTTGTAATGATATATTTAATGGTTTCCATTACAGTTTGTATTGGTTCTGATTTGTAATGGTTTCCATTACAAACATTTATTGGTCATGATTTGTATATATTTAATGGTTTCCATTACAAATTTGTATTGGTCATGATTTGAACATATTTAATGGTTTACATGACAAATTTGTATTGGTCATGATTTGAATATATTTAATGGTTAGGACAACCTATGTGTGTGGGTCAGGTTTTGACCTGATCACTCCCGACAAGAGCCGTTAAACCTGAAATCACATGGGACCAATGTTTTGACCAATGGCTATGACCAGTTTTTAAAAACTGTATCTAGCCTATTAATCATGTGTCCTACATTAAATCATTATTATCAAACCAAAGAAACACTAAATTTATTGGAGTCCTAATGGTTCATAATGGTGTCCAGTAGATACCAACATGTAACCTATAATTTTCAAAGGTGTTCTGTTGGTCCTTAATGGTATCCAATAGAAAACATGTACCACCAATAGAAGAAAGCAAATTACCAATAGAGACTTACTCGGACCATCAAAGTTTCCATTAAAACCAATACATTTCCTTTTATAACCATTAAAACCATTAGGAATTCTGTAATGGTTTCTATTATTTTTTTTTTCAGCAGGTATATGCTGGACATACTCTAGAATTTGCAAAGAGGGTATAGGCACCAATAGAGAGGAACATTGATGAACTGAGGACAAATATTTACTTACCTTCATGATGTCCCTTTAGGGTGTCTTTCTTTCTATCTTCTTTTCTAAATCAAAATTCCTATTCAGTTTTCTGTCCCATGAACTAAAGTGCTGCTCACCTGGACGTTGTTTCTGCAGTAAACTGACACTAGACAAGTAATGGTAACATAACACAGCTCCGTCTCCACTGGGCAAAGATGTCCAGCTTCACCCACAGTAATAATGGATGATGTCAGGATACATTACTCAAGAGGAACTCACACACTGGCTGTTCCCATATTTTCCTCAGCCCGTATCACTTAAAGCTGCATGCTGTTCTCATCTAACAGAACAGTTGTAGAAATTGCAGATGTACAAAATAAATTGCAATTTACCTTTGGGACTACATAGTACACTATGCACGCTTAGGATGTGTCCCAAATCAAACTATATTGAAAATATTAAACCAAGGACAGATTGTGCACTGGATTTTCTGAAAAGATGCTTTCATGCTTATTACCCACAAACCCTTGCACCAGGGAAGAATTTGAGGTAATACTTACAATAAAGTTTCAATATTTAACTAACTTAGTTAACATGAACTAACAACGACAATACTTCTACAGCATTTATTAATCTTTGTTCATGTTAATTTCTACATTTACTTGTATATTTTTTTAACTATTAACATTAGTTAATTCATTGTGGACTAATATGAAGAGACAATAAACTATTGTATGTTTATTAGCTAACATTAACAAAGGTTATTAAATGTTGTAAAAATTTTGCTCATGGTTATACAACAGGGCTGTTAAATTCTTGAATTTGATTGGTTAACGAAGGTTCTAAGGAGAGCAATTATTTTCAGGGAAACACACGGCTAAAGTAGTTCCAGCAATACAGTTCCATATGTCAAATAATGTCAGTTATTTCAAAGGTCCTTACAGGCTACAACAGCAAAATCACCAAAACCCACAACGACACTGACCACGCAAATAAATATAGCAAACATTGGAATAAAAACGACAAATTATTTACATGTTTTTTCTGCCACAAAATAATGCTTTATTACGTATGGAAAGCATCTCTTTCTCCCGCTCTCTTTCCCACTCAAACGCACACACACATATACAGTGACACACTCGCACAGAAACGTTAGGACAGCGCTGTTCTGACAATTTTATAAGTAAAATAGTTTAGCAACTTAAATTCAATACTTTTCTCACTAGGTACACTATACTTTTCTTACTATAACGGCGCTGTTCTTTAAAGCAAATAAACATACAGTTTCACTATTAGTAGAGATGCTGTTTCCGAACACTAAGAGAAGCACAGATTCAGGTAATTCACGCACGGTTAATCTCTCTCTCTCTGTCTCTCTCTCTTTCTCTCTCTAACAACTGCATTAATAACTGACTTTAGTCTGCTATCAATGGCTTGAGCCTCCATAAAATTAAGTTTTGGAATTAGCAAATTAGGCCTACACACAAGAGCGAAATTTCTTGAAATACAACATCTCAATATCTTGAGGTGTGGTAACTGTGGTAAGGTCTTAAAAGCAGAATAATTGACTCCTGTCAATTCCTTTTTAGAAAATAATGCACACCCGAGGGCTAACGGCGTGGCTGCATTATCACCTCAGGTGTGCATTTTTTAATAATTCAATGGCCTGTAGACAATTATTATAATTAACGCATTGCCTAATGTTAACAAATGAGACATTATTGCAAAGTTTTACTGAAAAAGACTTTTTAAAGGGTAACTAAACACCAAAACAACTTTTTTTAGTTAATGATCTGTAAGAATGGAGCTTCATAAATGCTGTTCATTGATTCGAGTACATTTTTTGACAATTGAGTATAAAGTGTTTTGATTTTCAAATATATGGTGTAAAAACGTCTGAGTGCTGCCCTCTTCAGGTTAAACGGAAAGCTCCTGCAGTAGGGGTACTTGCTGACGTAGCGAACTCTCAGACGCACTCTGTCACACCCTTGGTGCGAGCTCACCACGCCCTTGGCAGCCCCTGGTATAAAAGCATCTGGTTTCCGTCAAAACTACTGTAGCGAGTCAGGAGTTGGATTTATGAATATTGAAAACGATCAGGATACTATAGCATATAATAGCATCTAGTTAGCATAGCATTTATATAGTTATTTAGATTATTTTTGAAAACGACCAGGATAGAGTATTGTTGCATCTATTTAGCATAGCATTATATAGATAATTTAGATTATTTTGTGTAGCTAGTAGCATAGTACAGTTAGGATAGCTTCAAGTTAGCATAGATTTATCAGTGTTTAGTACAGTGATCAGGATAGTAACGGAATAGAGGTGGACATGGGCTTCTCCACACGCAGTGCCAAACACTGCTCGTCCTGCATGGACTCCTCCACCGCAGCGGCGTCTTGATGTGAGTGATCATGGATATTTTAATCACAATTTATGGTTAGGATAAAGTTAATCCTCTAGGGTCGACAAACGAGCCGGTGCATTTTGCTGGATTTTTTCATATAGCGGCATAATATCAATAGCGTGCGCTATTGAGATCAACTCGACGACATAACTCATCAGATGCCGGTCGCGATGCGGGAGTTAAGACCGCAGTTTGAGCCAGCAGCTCGAATGGATTTGGCCCTGTGTATGTATACAATTCACCCTCATCCACTTCAGGTGAAGGTGAGGGAGAAAAGTCCTCGACTTCAAATGGCCGCTCTGTTGCAAAGGCAGCTATTGAGTCACTCCAGACTAGTCTCGCTCTATTTTAGAGTCTGACAGCAGCTGTCACTCACGGCGGGTCTCAGGTGCACGCCCCCTAGCCCCGCTGGGGTCTGCCCATTTTTTCAGCATTTTTCAAATATTGCTAGTGGGTGGAGTCAGGCTCTGACCAGGGGTTTAGTTACCCTTTAAAGGAACACTCCGACTTTTTGGGACTTTAGCCTATTCACCTTACCCCCCAGAGTTAGATAAGTCCATACATACCTTTTTCATCTCCGTGCGTGCTATAAGTCTGTTTGACGCACCCACCGCTAGCCTAGCTTAGCACAAAGACTGGATGTGAATGGTTGCAGCTTTCATACTAATCCAAATGAGTGACAAAATAACGCAAACGTTTTCCTATTTACATGTTGTGGTTTGTATAGTCACAGAGTGTGCAAATATCAAGGCCATATGAGACACAGACATCTTTTGACCGTATAAATACTATATTTTCTGAAGGGGAAGCACTGCTACTTGGGCAGAGTGATAACAATCACCTGAGACGCGCCGTGACGAGGAGCAGACAGTTCGCTTCGCTCAGCGTTGGAATAAAGAGTCAGCAATTACTAACGTTAGATAGAAAAGCATAGTTTATCATGGGTGTTTGCTTTATTGTATGAGCTGTGACAATAAACAGGGGAGACCAGGTAATACAGTACCATGTTTCATTGATTTCCAACCAAAAACGCACCCAGATTTATAAATATCACATGAATAAATAATTATTATTACAGGAATCAATATATTTTAAATGCAATTTATTAGCTGAACCACATGTATTCAACAGTAGCCTATATACAGTATTGCATTACTATAGGATAGAATAAGGGGAAAGTAATAGCACAAATTGCTTTTGCACAATGAACTCACAGCCTATCGTACCCTTTTGCACGCTCAAGTTCGTTATTTCCATGGTTATTTCAAATTTAGGCTACTAGGCGCGCCGCGCGCAGGGTGCAAGTTCAACGCGGAGAACGCGCTCGTTTTTTTTTTTTTCCCAAGCGCGTCCGCACCGCATCAAGATAAAAACATATTCATACCCTAATCATATAATAGTGTCACTAACGTTACATTAGATCTGACTAAAAGCACTGTTACAGTAGGTCATCTAAAAACATAAAGGGAACACTTACCTCAGCCGCAGGTGATCACTTGTCCTGTCTGTACGCTATCGATGGGATGGCCGTATCCTTCAGCACATTATGGTCCGTGTGGCAAATTCCATTTTTTCAAAATAGTCGTCCTCATTGAAATGTACCGAGCAAACATAATGTCCCTTGATAATCTTAGGTGTTTTTGGATAAATATCCAGAGTAAGTTAGACATTTCTTCATCCAGTCAGCGTTTTTAGTTGGAATTCTGTGAAACATGGTATTACCTCCCCTGTTTACTGTCGCAGCTATTTACAATAGAGCGAAAACCCATGACTCTAAACTACGCTTTTACTATTTATAAATTGCTGACTCTATTACCCAAACACCGAGCGAACTCTCCGCGCTCCTCGCGGCGTGTCTCCGGTGATGCGGTTATTACGCCGTCAAAGTAGCAGTGCTTCGCCTTCAGAGAATAGTTCCCAGGTTTTATACGGTTAAAAGATGTCTGTGTCTCATTTGACTTTGTTATTTGTACATTATGTGACTATACAAATCACAACATGTAAATAGGAAAACGTTTGCGTTATTTTGCCACTCATTTGGATTAGTATGAAAGCTGCAACCAGTCACATCGAGTCTTTGTGCTAAGCTAGGCTAGCGGTGGGTGCGTCAAACAGACTTATAGCACGCACGGAGATGAAAAAGGTATGTATGGACTTATCTAACTCTGGGGGGTAAGGTAAATAGGCTAAAGTCCCAAAAAGTCGGAGTGTTCCTTTAAATGGTTTTCTTTTGGATTTTTCAGTTGGTAAATGGCAAGCAAGTTGTATTTTGTGACCGTGACCATATGAATGTACAGCTTGATTTGAATGGCAAAATTTTGAAAGAAATCATTTGCCAGGGACAACAATTCAATCATTGATGCAGGTTGTAAAAGTAAAGAAGAGGCCTATAATTAAGTGTGTACACTGTAAAAAAATTATTTTCCTAAATAAAGATTAAAAAAGATTATTGGAGTATGTTTTAAAAAAGAAATTATTATTTCAGTCTTTCTAATTCAAAATTGTACAGTTAATTCAATGTGTTTCTGCTTCTTTGTAATTGTTTGAAAGAATCACTTGCAATTCCTGTGTGAAAATTATTTACATCAAATTTATTTCAGTGTGTGAAGACTGGCTTGTTCCTGGGGTGTACACTTGCCTTCTGTAAGAATGAAAGACACATGATGATTCATACAGAAGAGCTATTTTTTCACTATGATCACATTTACATGTTGTCCATCATTCATTGTCACCACTAACCTACATACCTACATATCATACATACAGTCTCTCTCTCTGTCAGTCACATACACAAATAAACCTTTTACAGTGTCTTCACTTAAGATGAGTGAGGCTCTGTCTCGTACATGATGTACTGCAGAGAACGAGTGGGAGATAGAATAAAGAAAGAAAACTAGTGGCACACAGTTTGACAACAGGCATTTGATCAACATGACATCAGAGAAGTGAGTATTGTACATTCATAAACACATTCATGATCGAAAGACACATATATGAAAAGAAGAGAGAATTTTAATTCAACATTCCTGGATGTTCTGTGCATTTAGATCAAAAGTGTATCTTCAAGGCTTTCAATTTATCAGCCACAATTATTGCTCAAAATCCTCCTGAAATTAATCATTTCATTAAGACACAGAATGGTTAATTCTCAGAATAATTGCATGCCAAGTGTGTTTTTATGATTTAAGCTATACCACTGATTTATTTTGTGTAATATGTTATTAAGTAGTCACACTATGCATGACTAGATTCACCGTGTTTAGTACGGAAGCTTTGTTTTAGCCACATTGAATAAAATCTTTTATTTTGCAATTCGGATGTTATTTCTCACAATTCAGAGTTTACAACTCACAATTCAGAGGGAAAAAAGTCTGAATTGTAAAATAAAAAGCTGCAATTATCACATTACCACATTGCCTTGCACACACGTTTGCAATGCACTATTAATAATCATTGCATTTTGATAGGTTATAAAATGCTTTAAAAATGAGCTTTTATTGAAATTAAAATAGCTTTTACCAAGTTTCTAAAAATATGTTTCTGATGGACTTTATTATATTTTGTTATGTGACCCTTTTCCTCCATCCAAAAATAATGTTTTGTTTTTTTTTTTACCACATGGTAGGTCAATTTCTCTTTACAGTCTTCTACTTGTACTTTAAGTTTAACCTTGTCAAGCAAAATAGTACCTCAGAGTTTCCTGATGTTCACAAAGATTTTTTTTAATGATGTTGTAGGGACAAGGAGAGATGAAGTGTAGCAGTTTATTGAAGAAAACACACAAACAAAGATCCAAAAAAGCAATGAAGATTCCAATAATCCATAAAGGAAACAGAAATCTATAAGAAACAAAACCATCAGGAATAATAATGAGAACCGCAACAGTTTGGGATATAAAGACAATAACCGACAACAGACTGCTGAAACAAATATAGACATGGATAAAATTAGGCTAAACAAGGCACAGGTGAAGGTAATGAATCTCTATGGCAACAAACAAGGGTAACAAAGCAGCAATGGAAAAGTCAACTGGAAATAAACAGTGAAACAGTAAATGATAGAAAGTGAATATACATGATAAAATAAAAGTCTTTAAACACAAATGGGAAACAAGACAAGAATTATAGTAGATAAATAAAGGATATTTAGTTATGCCTTGTTCATCTGATGATTTAGTGTTCAGTTGTCAGATGTAAAAGAATTGAGAGATTTTATCCCTGCAGCAAATGTATGCCTCCGTCTCTCATTTAGTCACACATATAGGGCATTCCCATTTCTCTGTCAGTCTTTGTCTCTGATAATTATGAGTTTTAAAAGTCATGGGTTGAGTGTGATGTCTGCCAGAAACCCATGGTGACTGGTTGTGAAAACGTTTGAGCTCTGGGTTGTCATGGTAACAAAACTGGTTGCCAGGGAGATGATTGCATTATCGGCATATGGAAACAGCATGGTGAATTGGTGACCGGTTTAGCTCTCAGGGTTTCATGGTGTTAAGTTAAATGACAGTGCAATTGGTTCTCAGGGTTACAGGAGTGCGTAGTTGTCATGGCTTGACTGTGTTTTGACTGTCAGTGCAATTATTTTCTCTTGTCACTTTGTTTGTGTCGGTGAAGAATAATTTCGTGCACATTGCATACATGTCTGATGTGATGCTATGTTTGTCGATAAGAGGTAATATATTTTATTGTGGCGACAGGCGCAGTCCACCCATGACCCCTGACACCCACAACCCCCATCCTCTGAGCTGTTGTCCTGCTGCAGCACTGCACTTACCATAGCACTGTAAACCACGTCTCAAAAAATGTAATAAAGGGAGAGACATTATCAGCAGAATATCAGAAAGGCATGAGCACTAAAAGCAGACAGAGTCAAGGACATTCGACTTACACCCACACGCATGACTCACAACTGTGTTTGTGTATATCAAAAACGATTGATCTGTTCTTATTGAAAAATACAGATTGAACCAGACATAGTTGCGTATGAAATGAAAAAGCTAGATAAAAAAAGAAAAGTGAAAAATGTTTGCCTATACAAAACTAAAGGCTTAGTTCACAAAGAATGGAAAATTCTGACATCAATTACTCTCCCCCATGCTGTTCCATAAGCTGTAAGATTCAAAAAGATCATAAAGGCATCAAATGAATACATATGAATCAAGTGACTCAATCTAAGTCTTGTGAAGAGATATGATTGCTTCATATGATCGAGAGATTTAATTTCGGCTTTTATTCACACTTAAAGGAGAACTCCGACACAATATGAACCTTTGGTCTAATAAAATATCGGTACCTAGTCAACCGTTCTCTGAGATTTGCTTTCATGATAATCGAATGTAAGAGTTTTACCTCTAAAAACTGTTTAGCGTATAATGCTAGTATATGGGGGCATTTACTAAGTAAAAAGAAATCGCTAGTTTCACTAACAAGGCTCAAAATAGCCCCACACTGACACAGTAACATAATGAGGGTCCATACATGCAAAACGAAGCATTGAGAACTTTGTAAGTGTACAGACCGTTTAATAAGAAGATACTTTATAAAGACAGTTCACTTCGTGTATACAGACAGGAGCCATCTTTGGAAATCAGTCACGACAAGTCAAACCACGAACGTCGTGCTGAGTGAGCTGAAATGTATGAAGTTCTGCGAACTTCTGAACTGTATGAACGGCGTTCGGGGATCGACTTATCGAGACTATTTTCTAAGATGGCTCCTGTCTGTATACACGTAGTGAACTGTCTTTATAGAGTATCTTCTTATTAAACGGTCTGTACACTTACAAAGTTCTCAATGCTTCGTTTTGCATCATTATGTTACTGCGTTAGTGTGGGGCTATTTTGAGCCTTGTTTGTGGTATAAACTAGCGGTTTCTTTTTACTTAGTAAATGCCCCATATACTAGCCTTGTACGCTAAACAGTTTTTAGAGATAAAACTCTTTACATTCGATGATCATGAAAACAAATCTCAGAGAACGATTGACTAGGTACCGATGTTTTATTAGACCAAAGGCCCATTTTGCGCCGGAGTTCTCCTTTAAACACATGTAAAGCACATCATGGTAAAAACGTTGCTTTTTACTAAGTTTCTAAAATATGTCTCCGTTTGTCTTTGTTCAAATTTGGAATGCTGTGATATTTTCCTCTGGCATCATGCATGTACAGTATATATTCTTTTACCACATTTTTCTACAATTTTTTGTGTTAAACCAGATAAATTCTTATCCTGGCTGCACCCTCCTACACACTTCCGCTCAATTTAATTTTACTTCAGTAGATGAAATGAACTAGAGTCTGGTTGAACCAGGCTAATAAATTCTGTCCCTCCACTGACAAATTTCAAGGCAAGTTTCAAAAAGGTCATAAAGGCATTGTAAAATGAATCCATCAGTGTAAAGTGCAGTCTCTTTTTACAAACCAATTACAACGTTTTCTTGAAAGTGCAATCTACTAAATGCAACCTACAAATGATCAAATTCAGTGATGTAGCAGACAATGTTGGTGGGCCCCAATTCCAATCCTGTGGCCCAAGTCAAGTCTTTCTGATCTTCTGGTCTATGGCTCAGATCCCTCAATCAGATGTAAGTCGGTGGGATTTGTCCCCTTATTGTTTTATAAAGCTTATAAGCCTTATCAACACACATCTCTGACTGAAGGATCTGAGAATCACTCAGTGAGAGCAAGATACACAACAGTGATCTACTGTACAGCATGTTCACAGCTGAGCAGATGGCTGTTTTGTTGTTTGCCTGCTGTGTTTTAAGTGTTATGAGTTTGCGTATGTTTTATCTGAAATGCATTTTCAGGATTTCCTTTTTTATGTGTTTATGTTTAGTAAACACTTTAAGGAAGATGAGGACCTTTTGGTCATCAAAAACACTGACTGCAACAAGGGTCATTACTGTAACAACACCAGCTCAAAGAGGAATCAGGGATCGTCTAAAGGCAAACCCGCTGACATGATATATGTTGGTCAGTATTTCTAGCCGTCTCTGTCTGTCAATGACTTTCAGACTTTTCTACACCTGCCTAAGCATTTTAGGAAGTTTGGTCTACTGCCAGTGGCAGCTATAAATGTAAGCAGTATTAATAGTATAAAATCACAAATGAGATCTCAGTTGTTTCTCTGCATGTTGTAGGTTTTTTGTGTTTAAATCTTTTTATTTGGCATTTTAACAGAATATCATTTATAATTACAGTTTTTTTTAAATGCAAAAGTAAATAAAACACATACTAACATATATGCATGAAAAAAAAATGTTGTAGGTTTTTAAATGTTTGTTTGTGTTTAGTTGGAGGCTGGAGTAAAGATGACCCGTTCTGTCCAGTTGAGCAGTTCTGCCCCCAGTATAATGAGTGGAAGATGACCGCTCCAATGCACCATCAACGCGGCGACACAGGGGTGTGCGCTCTGGGCGGGATCATCTACACTGTGGGCGGGTGTGATGATGTCACCTGTTTGAGCAGTGTGGAGAGGTGGGAGTTTAGCACTAAATAAACTGTCCTTCAAATAAATTTTTTTGTGAAGTGCATGGGATTCTACTCACAGTTTATTTTAATAGTGTTTGGGATTAAATAATATTAAGCTATTTTACTTTTTAAAATTAAATTAGTCAAATTTTAAGTATATAAATTAGAGCCAGACCGATTTATCCAGACCACACCATAAGAACCACACCATATCACGTACAGACTGATGGTCTAACGGTGCAGTTCAATCAAACACTTAAACAAATGCTGCGAAAGTATGTGCGTAAATCTGGAGCTGACTGGGATCAGTGGATTCCATACCAATTATTTGCTTACAGGGAGGTTCCGTCAGTCTTCAACTTGAGTTGCTATATAGCCGGGAGTTGCGGGAGAAGTTGAAGGGCATTACTCAACTAGCTCAGTCAAACCTAGTTCAAGCACAGTAACGTTAGCGGCAATATTATGATCAAAAGTCCAAGGTCAGAAGTTTTGGAGAAAAGGTGTTGGTAATGTTACCCAGTGATACCAGCAAGCTGCTTACTAAGTGGCAGGGGCCTTTTAAAGTGGTCCGTAAGCTTCGACCTACCATTTATGAGGTTGCCAACTCAGGAAAGTGGCGCTCACGTCGGGTGCTGCATGTTAATTTGCTCAAGAAATGGCATGAGAGGCTGTCACAAGTTGCTGAGGTTTGTATGATTCATCAGGTGGAGGATGAAGATGAGGTGGAGGAACAATACTTGCCACTTCCTTCAGTAAACACTGTTGAACTTGGTCATCTCTCACCCCTTCAAAAGTCACAGCTTCAGAAGATTTGTAGAATAGGGGTGTGCCAAGAGAAACCAGGGAGAGAAACCACTCTGATTCATCATAACATCACCTTGCAAGAAGGGGGTGACACTCGACTTAAGTTCCTGAACGTCTTCTACCAGCATTGATGGAAGAAGTGAATCAAATGCTAGCCATGGGGATCATTGAGTCATCTAGAAGTTAGTGGTGTAGCCCAGTAGTTTTGGTACCTAAAAAAGATGGAAGTCTACGCTTTTGTGTGGACTTCAGATATCTGAATTCAGTGTCCAAATTGGACTCCTATCCTACCCCACAAATTGACAACTTGATTGATCATCTATGAAAGGCTGAATGGTTGACCACACTTGATTTATGTAAAGGCTACTGGCAAGTAGCCTTTACAGGCAATCCCAGACTGTTCCCTCCATCAAACAAAAACTCACGTGAGAGCATTCCTGGGCATGGTTGGGTGGTAAAGACGATTCATGCCTAATATTGCTGTACGAGCAGCAGCCTTAACCGACTTGACGCGAACAAACTGTCCAGTCCAGATTCAGTGGACTGAGGAGGCTATATGCCTTCCAGGACATCAGAATTTACCAATGATCCAGTGCTGTCTTGTCCCAATTTTGAAGAACTTTTTGTTTTGCAGACTTATACTTCTACAGTTGGAAGCTGTATCCTAGAGAGGGGAAATACTCCACAGTTGAGAAGGAGTGCTTGGCCGTTAAATAGGCCCTGGACATGTTCAGGTACTACCTTCTTGGCCGAAGGTTCTTCCTTGAAATTGATCACCGGCCGCCGCAATTGATGGATCATATGAGACTCAAATGCACAAATCACTCGTTGGTACTTATCCATGCTATCTTATCATTTCACTGTCCAGCACATACCAGGAAGGAGTAATGCTAGCGGACTTTCTTTCTCGCCTGTCGGCTTGAAAATGAGTAGGGGGGAGTGTGACGGTCATGGATTGAACATGGACTTGAGTTAATAAATGCACTCACACACACACAGACACTGTTTACTGACATAAGAGTTTATTATGAGTATCCATCGAAATGAGTGATTGAAATACCTGTTGAATTTATGCAGTATTGTTTAAATCATAATTTTAGAGGTTCGACAGGGAAATGGTGGCGGGAATCTTTGGTTCCTCTAAAAAGAATTGGAATCTACTATTTATTGAGCAGGGGTGTTTCAGGGACAATGCGGCCGAATTGCTTCTGTTATTTCCTCTTCAATGTATTGGAAATGATATCAACTGTTGTATAATTATCTATTTTGAACAATATGACAAAATGTTTGATCTAGACTCTATATTTATGGGAAATTCACGAGTTCACACTTGCATGCAATTAGAATGGGTATAGTTGAATGCATTTTGGCGTGCTCGAAGTTCGGCCCGAACCCAGAGTACTCCCTCCATGTAGTTAGGATTAGAAGTGTGGAGAAGGGGCAGTGGAGGGGTGCTGCTGAACTGTCAATGGATTGAGGTGAGACTGCTGAGTCTATAAATATATCTCTTTTCATTGATTGTTGATTGCTCTCCACCCGTGTTAATTATCTGAACATGCTCCTCCTGAACTTTGTTAATAAAACATCATGGGCCTTATTTTAACGATCTGGGACAGGGGAATCATATGGGGTCTATATGAAGCTTTAAAATGCTGAGTCAATGTGTTTGTTTATGTGTTAGGTATGATCCAGAGCATAACACCTGGTGTGTGGACGTGCCGTCGCTCTCCTCGCCACGGTCAAGGGTGTGTGTTGTAGAGATGGATGGATGTCTCATTACACTTGGAGGTTTTGACGGAATGACCTGCATTAACACAGTAGAGAGGTCTACACACAATAAAACATAATGTATATACATGCATACAGAGAAACATAAGATATGAAGATCTCCTTTAGACAAACTCATACACATTTGTTTTAGATATGACCCATGGAAGAATTCCTGGTCTAAGTTGACTCCAATGCTGAGGAACAGGGCAGCTGCATCCGCCGCTGTCCTGAACGGTCAAATTTACGTTGTGGGAGGAACAGATGGAGACATGGCGCTAGATTCAGGTACACAAACACATACATGTGCAAATTTGAAAATAAATAAATAAAAATGTACTTAATGCTCATTCTTCTGACCTAGTGGAGCTTTTTGATCCATTTGAGGCATGTTGGTGTCTCTGCCCCACCATGTCCACCCCAAGGGTGGCTTCAGGGTGTGCTGCGTTTCTTGGCTGTCTGTATGTGGCCGGAGGACGAGACGAACTTGGTCTGTCATTGAGCACCGTGGAAAAATACGACCCAGACACTCTCCGCTGGAGCCCGGTTAGGGCTATGAACAACAAGAGATTTCAGGTTTGACTGAATAAGAGCTAGTCTTCCTAAAATAATAATTCACCAATAATTCACCGTCATTCCAAACAAATATTACCATTCTAAAATTATTCTGAAGTGGTTTAATTATGGCCTTTGAGGTAAGATTATTGTGTTTAAAATGCACAGGTTTCTTTAGTGCTGTTTAATGGCTTTCTATTGGCTATCGGAGGATATGATGGTGTAAGTGACCTTAAAACAATGGAGGCTTACAACCATGAGAAAAACTCCTGGAGGTGTGTATTGTACTGCCATTATTTATACCTAAATGATGATGATAGTAGCCTACTTGTTTTCTTCATCTCTCACATTCCTTATATCTTCTCTTGTGTTTAGACATTTTGGAAGTATGAAGTCCAAGCATCCAGGTGGACATGTGGCTCTGGTTAAGGCTGTGTGAAATGTATTGATTGAAATGATGATGATATCATTGTAATAAATGACAGTGAAATAAAATTTCTGTATAATTTCTTGATCCTCACAAAACATAATGCTATTATACATGTTTTCCAGGATCATATTGGATAATAATACCAAGGTATTTTATTCTAGCTGTGGCAGATGAAAATGGAAATCATTCAGTATGGTATGGGCCTGTCAAAGTAAGAAAACAGCATATTCTACTATTTGGTAGGCTACTTTTCTGTTCAGAAATTTTCCACAGAGCAATTATTAGTCAATTAAATAGGCTATTATAAGTTAAATCAGTAGATATATTTTGATGACTTTCCCGGGCATGAGGAATCACAATTTTAAAATGCCCATGACCTTGAAAAACTTTATAAACAACATTATAAACTCTGCTTTTATGAAGTTCTGTTGCTACGTTACTATGAAAAGATGTAGCCTTGGCAACTAAAGAGAAACTTGATGTCTTTTTACAGAGTAACAGTTATTATTCGTGATTGAATAAGAAAGATGCCTATCAAGGCTGTCCACTGTTCAGCACAAGGCGCTGTGTCTGACACTTTAAAATGCCTCGACGATATTACCTCTCAATGTTAGTTGATGTGGAAGTTGAGAGAATCCGTTGCGCTCCACGGGTTTTATTTAAAAAATCAGCAAAAATAAATAAATAAAATAAAATTGTCAGAAAGTGAACAAGACTGATTACATTTCAAATCAGCCGACTTTTCACAGGGTTTGATTTGGACAACATACTTTTACCACAAAGATTTACCTATCTGGATGTTTACACATTTTTGATCGTTGACTGAAAAACGTTTTTTTAATCGTAAAAGCGGCGCGCGATGCCTGAAGAAACAGTGGCCGTGACGTTTCCGTCCGCGTGCTGCTCCCTGGATGAAAAGATAAGCGGCGCGTGCTACACCAACCACACATTTGAATACGATGATGGGAGCACCTCGCGCCTGAGGTAAAGTGCGCGCACAGTTGTCTTTAGAACAAACCATAGATAGACAGATAGATAGATAGATTTCATTTATTTGTGTACCGGTGGCTCATACCACAATCTAATGTATTAGCCTATAGTTGTCTTGGTCGGTAATGCATCAGTTTCTACCCTTAAAACTAGGCTGTTATTCAGAAGACATCTAAGACCAGCTTGCTTTTTAAAAATGTCAAATAGTTTATTTTTCCAAGTCTCTGTGTCTTCTCTTTCACTGCTAGTCCGAGATGTGGCTCCAGTTGTGGGGGCAGAGGTGTGGTCTTAAATGTGCAGGAATTAGAGATGACCACTGGAGCATCAGTGGTTCCTTCCCCTCAAACCTACTTCCGGTTCCGAGACCTGTTGCTTGGAGACCAGACGTTTTATGATGACAGGTAAAAAAAAAAAAAGGCTATATAGTGACAAGTTGAAACCCTCATTCACTATTCCCTACGTTAGTCCACTAATACTGTTCACTCGAGGAGTGAATGAAAAGGAGTGAGCGTCTTTGTACACTCATTATTGCAGTGTTATGTTGGATTGATAAGTGCACTCAGTTACGCCCACTATGGTTTCAGACACAACTACAAATGGCTGTCCCTCCAAATAACGCCGTATTTGGGGGTATATAGGGTGTCGATTTTGGTTCCAGTCCATGTTTAGACCACGTAGCCCTGCTCATTGTGTTCTGTCTTATGGTTTCCACAGTATAAAGGTAAGATCTTAAGGATTTATGCATAAACCGCTACTGACATTTGTTATTTTATATTACAACACTTCTGATAACTTTCATTAAGTCTACAATAGTAAATCCACTTCACCAGCTAATTTCTCTTTGACAGCGATGCCACAGAGCTACCGCAAAACCAAGAGTTCAAACCTAAATTTCTAAAGATGGTTGCGCGCATAAAGTCTATATTCCCCAGTGTCACCATTGCTCTGTCTGCAAATTCACATCTGTCTCATTGAAGACCAGGAGTCAGAACTAGATCCAAATGACTATTAAATATTTATGAGTTATGATGTTTCTGTAATACGGCCCCTCCCTGGTTAGTACTTACTGACTGCATCACAAAAAAAAGATTAGAAGTTATAGCACAGCAATATACACCTTTGAACTCCTCAGCAACCATAGAAACACCTTGGCAACAACCCAGAACATTCGATATGAAAAATATAACTTTGAAAATCATGTTTGGATTTGTTTTTAAAACCACTGAACAAGAGAACAACAAAGTTGCTCATTTACTTTTTTATACTGGCAAACCTTGAATGTTAAGAAAAACGTCACACTGTGTGTGTGTGGGCATACAGCCACATCTCTCCAGATCGACAGAAATAGCCTCTTGAGCAGGTTATTATCTGTAATTTCCTGACAACAGGAGGGAGAGAGATTGTGCACTGCGGAAAGGTGGGAAGAGAAAAACAGCTAAAGAACGGCTCATTTGACTGAAACATTTTAATTTTCTTCAGTGAGTTTGTTGCTCATTCATTCAAAGTTCTCTTTGTAAACAAACACATTATGAGAACACTACACACACTCCTGTGACTTTGCATTAACACAAAGACAAACAGCATCGCTTGAGGCATTTAGCAAGACTAACATCATCCACTGTACATTTATTTTTAAGCTTTTTGCATTAGCAGAACTCGTAAAGTTTGTCACGTTTTACAGCTGTTGTGCATGCCATATGCTACTTAGGTGTGTATTTGACATAGAGATGCTAGTAAAACTAACAAAGTGTATTGAAATACGCTTCAGAGGCATACACAACAGAGAGAGAGACACGCTTGAGCGCCTGCAGTCAGGAGTGTGTGGGCGGGTTATTTTGAACCGCTGAAGATTATGTACTTCCATAACAATCCTCTCAGCTCAGATCTCTGCACGTCCCTTGTCTAGAAACCCTCTGGGTTTTCTCTGTTATGGAACAGAAGAATACTGTACCATCCTGGGTTAACCCGGCTCTGGTCAACTGGAGACTGGACTCTTTTGGTAGCGATGCTGGGCAGAGGTAGGATGCTTCTCTAATAAGAGTCACTGCAGTCTTAGAATGACTGGAAATGATCACTGAGTTTAGGCTTTTTCTCCTTTTTGCTAAAGTAGGAACGCTGTAGTGGGTTTCAGGTGCTGCAAGAGTTGCACTTCTCAGTTGTTGTCAAAGTTTTTTGCATTTTTTATAAAATTAATTATTTGTTATTCCAGTTTCACTGTTTTTATTAGTAAAACATGCTCTATAAATGATGACATATCTAACAGAAACATCTGGAACATTTTGGACAAAATTATTCCAGGGGTTGTAATGTTGATTGCTCCGTCTCACTTTATTACGGCAAATAAAACCACCATTCCTGTGGTCTCCATGGGAACTGGCGGACATATCGCATCTCCTCTGTCAGAGATTGTTGTAGAGAATTGCTCGTCGTGCTCAACTATGTAAACAGAGTAAAACATGGTAATGGACAGAGAAAACGAGGGGGGACACAAGCTGATCAGTTTCAGGAAAACTCACATGTACTGGCACATATTTGTATTGACATTATACATCAGTTTATGCATTATGATCATGCGCATTCATATCTACATGAGTGTTTGATGCATAACCTGTCTGCTTTTCTTGATTTTTAGGTTCAAATGTGTTTATATTTCACTATTTTGAATCACATTTGGATTTTACTTGTTTATTTTAAATAGTTCTGTGATAAGTGATTTTTTTTTTTAAAGACTCATGCGTGCGAGAATTATATAAAATAATTCTCAAACTGCTGTTTAAAATAGTTTTAGATGGAGTTTAGCATGTCGTACCACAGGACTTGTCTACTTTTGTCAAGTGTTTCATGTCAACTACCCACATGCATGAATTCACACTGTCTTACTGACTTTATAAGGCAGTGTTGCTGTAGCCTCTGGCAGGTCCACCTTCACCATGATAAAGTAAACTTGTATTTGCCCTCTTTCACTTTCTCTTCATCTCTTTATATATATATATATATATATATATATATATGATCTGTCTGCCTATACATTGCTTACCCACATGCATGAATTCACACTGTCTTACCAACACAGAGCACTGACTTAATAAGGCAGTATTGCTGTAGCCTCTGGCAGGTCTACCTTCACCAATGTATATGTTTATTCTGGTTATATATATGATCTGTCTGGCTATATATTAGGGTGACCATATTTTGATTACCAAAAACCAGGACACTCGGTCCAGCAAATAGATACTCAAAGTTTACTCAAAGATGCCTTATTAATTTCAATACATTTAAAGTAGGCTATGCCTCCTCTGTATTGATAGAAAATTGTTATATTACAAGACACAAATTCAGATAGGCTTCTCAGAGGTTACTCAACATGTTTTATTATGACAGGTTTCAAAAATAATGAATGAAATAATGATAGAAATAATGTCTCTTTTGTATTAGAAAAATAAATAAATAATAAATAACTAAAAGAAATACCTCCAAATTTAACAAAAATAGCTCTCACAAACTTACAAAAACAAACTAACAAATTCTTCCTCTTTATCCTGTTTTTCTTCCTCATCATCCTTGTTTTCACATCTATATTTTGTTGTAGAGCTGATCTTTCCCAGCAGTTTTTTGAAAACCAGGACTTTATAAAAAAACAGCCATGATGGCCAGGACAGGACTTGAAAACAGGACATGTCCTGGAAAAACAGGACTGTTGGTCACCCTATATTGCGACAGAGTACAGTTGCTAGAAGCGTGATCGGTTATGCTTCGGGAAAAAAAAAATCATTATGGTGACCCCAAAATATACTAAAGTCGCACTTAAAAATGATTTCAATGAATAGATTTAGCATGCTATTTAATATGGTAAATGTAACTGCTACATTGGTGCTGCTGCATAAATAGACAGACATTAATCTTGTAGCTGATATACTGTAGGCAGGTGAAGCTGGGGAGGGGGAGGGTTTGAGAGGAACTCTGATAGCGCTTACAGCAAACTATGAACCAGACCATTTAATTGTTGAGCACGCAATCTCATTGGCTGCAGGATCAGCAGAGGCCAATCAGATTGTGC